AATAAAAAATACAAAACTTTATATCGTGACAGTATCATGAAAGTAACCTGAACTGAAATGATGTGGAACAAATATTTGTCAATCTTTTGGAACTTTTTGGATTTCTTTTTTTTTAAAATATGTTTATGTTTATGTTAATTTAGCTGCAAAAAAGTTATGGGTTCCCAAGTAGGTCAAAGGGCACTGTGATGGTCAACACCTGTAACGTCTTGTTGCCATGGCACCACACTGAGCTGTCAATCACATCCGCTGCCCACTCACGTTCACTCTCCTTCTTACGTGTGTCATTTACTTCTGTCCAGATTTGATTGACGTCCATTTGATAAACTGACGTCACGCGGAGCTAAAACTGGCGACAGAGACCGACGGGAAAATACTGACGTAACGACCGATCAAACTCCTAAAAGTCGACTTTTTCTTCTTCTACGTGGCCTTAAACTGTTACCTCCCCTGTGGCTAAATGCTAAACGCTAACTTCCTGTCTTCTCTCTTTTTAAACGTCCGTCTTTACTTTAATCCAGTCTTTACTCTGTAAAAGTACACGTTGAAAACTGTTCTCTACTGCGTTGACGTACGATGTCATTAGGTCTGAGTGACAAACAGAAAGGACGGATTTAAAAACCTGAACGCAGCCAACGTTGAACCGTACAGTTTTTATCTGGGAGAACAAAGAGAAACCAACAAATGTCTGCAGACACAGGTCTATGTTCTCACTCTGTACTGACGCCGAGCCTCACGTCTCAAATCTGTGACAACAGAAAGAGAAACGGCGGGAACGGACGGTCTGAGTCCACGCTGAGGTTTAATCAGTCGTTTGTTTTTCTGTTGGTCTTCTGATTGGCTGGAGATAAACTTTGGTCGACAAAAAAAAACACAAACACGCTGCAGACACCTGACTGGGCTGAGGTAAAGACCGCTACTCATTATTAGAAGTGATGGTACAACTGTGAACCGTGTACTACACACGTAGCTTGTACTTGTACTTGTTTGCTGCAGTAACTGGAGACACGGTAGGTATACAGTCTATATACACACACACACACACACACACCCATACACACACACACGGTGTTAACAAGCAGCTGGTGAAGGTAGTTAGTGACGGTTATCCAGCAGCAGATGAGGAGGATTTTACGATGACGGTGAAAAAACGGGGGAAAGACCTGCGAGCGCGATGCTACAGAATCTGCGTCCGAGCGCCGTGAACACACAACAAGACAAACACAGACAACGTCCTCTCCACGGTAACTGTGTGTGTACCTTTTCCTGTGTTTGGGAAACTGCGTGCGTGTGTACCGTTCACAGTGCTACGCACACTCCTTGCAGCCGCATTCCACGGGTTTCTCCACGTCCTGCGTAAACGACGTCCCGTCGTCACATTCAAACGTCAGCCGCCGACGTCGCAGCCTCAGAGGAGCGCAGCAGGGGGCAGCGGCGGACACGCCAGGCCCGGCGTCCGCCTGGCAACCGCCGCGACATTCGACCCAGGAGAAGGTCTTGGAGGTCTGGCACTGGGCGGTCCCACGCTGTACACGGTGGAAGTCTCTCATTGGCTCTCCACGACAAGGAGACGCTGAGGGTCAAGACAGACGGAGAGACAGTCTTAGAAGGACATCTGTGTATGCAGTACCACTGTTGGCCAGTGGGAGGGACTTTTGGTACCACTTCCTGAATGTGTTCTTTTGTTTGTTTGTGACTGAGTCAAGGATTTTTTCTAAAGTACTGCATGTGTACTATATATTTTTTCAGAGAAATACTTGACATTTTTCTGGATATTAAAAGTCAAAGAAAAGAAGAGTCACTGAGATTCTTTAAAGGCCGAGGGGTCACAAATATGTGTCCAAGGCTAACACGTGTCTAGAGCGCCCTCTGTCACCTCAAACAATAATGACTTTAACCACAGAGGCTTTTGAAGGCTGTAAACTTTGAAGTTTTTTTTTTATATATTTGATACTTGGATTCCAGATCAAAAACATTTCCAGTCATTTGAACTTAATTAAATATGACAAATGCACAAATAAAGCAATTACCATCAGGAGAACACTGACCTGTCTGAGCTCATTACCTCTAAATATATCCTGAGTTAACGACATTAATGAATGTGAGCAAGGCTAAGTCGAGCAGCGGTGAAAACAGTTGAGATGAGCATGTCATTTATCAGAACATTAATTAAATATGAACTTAAAGAAAAATAAATCCTGGAACTTGTAAAGTTGAAATACTATGAACAACCCTGACATTCGACGTCGATGAAAGGAGAAGACGAAGAAAGAAAGAAAACTTTAAGTGAAAATAATGGCATAAAGAAAGATATAAAAAAATATTATTAAAAAAAAAAAAATCACTTGAACCTGAAGACAGTGTTTTGTGTGTTGAGAGTCTGGGTTTGACGGGTGAGGGACGGGGAGGGCAGAGGGGTGAGTTTTTCCTATTGAAACTTTATTTTTAATTATTTTCATTTGAAATGTTATATTTTTTATTTTATTCTCGATGTCTTTTTTTTTTTCTCTTTTTTTCTCTCTCTGCTCCGTCCTCCTGGTTCTGCTGCCTGCAGGTTCTCTAACATGTGATCTCACATGTCTCACAGCAGTGAGTGTGTAAATATTCACGTCACATGACCACGTGAATGATCCTTTCACTCGTGGCCGCGCTCACCTACTTCACAGCTTTCCCCTGTGTACCCCGGCTCACACAAGCAGCGCAGCCCGTCCTGTGTCTGCTGACACTGGCCGTTCGTGCACGGCAATCCCTGACAGGACCCCGCGGGCTCCCCCTGCAGGTTGCACAGAGTACCGTAGTATCCCTCCTTGCAGTTGCAGCGGTACGACTGTGCGTCCAGCGTCACACAGATGCCGTTGATGCACCTGAGGAAAAGTCACAGTCAGTCACTGAAGCAGGAGAAATAAAAAAAAAAAATTTAAATGGTCCTATACATTTTTGTCTTTATTTTATTTTAATTTAATTTTTTTTCTTATTTTTTTATATTTTTTTATTTTAATTTTAAGTATTTTTTAAGTAAGACCCCTAAAAAATCATTTCTACATTAAAAAAAATAGCTTTTAAAAAATGTAACAAGAAATATTAACATGTGAAAGTCAAACATCATCATCTCCGGTGTTAATATCCAAAACAAACATGTCTCACTTGCTGTCACAAAGTCACAGCAAGTGAGTCAGTCACTGAAGCAGGAGAAATTAAAAAAAAAAAAAAATTCAACTGGTCCTATACATTTTTGTATTTATTTTAATTTTATTTATTTATTTTTTTGACTTATTTTTTTTGACTCATTTTTTTATTTTAATTGTATTTATTTTTTTGACTTATTTTTTTATATTTGTTTACTTTAAGTATTTTTTCATTTCTACATTAAAAAAAAAGCTTTTAAATATTTAACACCAAACATTAACATTAACATGTTAAAGTCAAACATCATCATCATCCCCGGTGTTATTAAACAAACAAACACGTCTCACTTGCTGCCCGCACAGGGGTCGACACCTGTTGCTGTGGTGACGACGTCCGTCCCAGCGAGGCCTCCTGTGATTGGCTGGTCGCACTGCTGACCCGTCCAGCCTGTGTGACAGCGACACTGTGGTGCCAGAGAGAGAAAGGAAACAAAACGACAAAGTATGTTACAGTTAGATGATGATTTTATATTCAAAGAAATGAGTGAATTATTTGACACACACCAGCGTTAACTGACTATTACTGTTTGTTTATTTTTATTAATGTTAGTAATATATATAGTATATATATAGTATATTTAAAAAATAAATATTATTAAAAATCCACTCATTTCTTCAGTTGCTTAATTAACAAAAAATACAAATTTTTTATTTTTTTTAGCAGTGTTTTAAATGAACATTTTCTCCACTGATGTTTGAATGTTGCTCTGATATTCCGTCCCAAATAAACAGGGACACAAAATTGTTAGCAAATCTATTTTAAACCAAGACACTGCTCCCCTTTTTTTTTACTTTTTTTCTGAAGAGTTTTCAGACACGGAGTGAGTGACTCGTACCTGTGCGGTGTCAGGATGGCAGACGCCGTGGAGGCAGCGGATCTTCAGGCAGGCCTGGCAGCCGGGCACCACGCCGGTCTTCATGTGGCTGCGGGTGAAATCCTGCAGCTCGTGGTTGATGTACAGGTTTCTGATGCAGCCGTGGAAACTGGACATGTTGACGGTCTGGGAGGAGGCGCCCACAGACGAGGGCAGCACCTCCTCTGGCATACCTGAGAGGGAGGAGGAAGAAGAAGAAGCAGCAGCCACGGTGGTTAAGACCTGGAAGTTTCTTTATTTGGGTTTTTACAAAGACTGAATAAAAAAAGGTTCAAATGTTGAAGCCAGAATTAATACAAACAAAAGGCGTCGTCGTCAGCAGAACTTTGTCAACGAATTAAATTTGCTGTCACTAAAATCAATGATTTTATTAACGAGGTTTTAAGTTAAAGATGGAGACAAAGTTCAGGAACCACATTATTAAGAAAGGAAATTTCAGTTCCTTTTGTTTGTCTTCAGTAACAGGTTTGACTTCTGTCAAAAAATATTTACATTAAGGATGGGATTTTATAAATGACCAAAATTGAAAAAAAAAACCCTAACTGTATCAATATGTAAAAAACAATTAAAACAGTGAATAAATGGAATATAAATTACATTTAAAGATTATTCATTCATTATTTACAAATAATTCAAATTTGTGAATCATGTACTAATAATGTTTGAAGGTAAAAGGCTTAGATTGTGTATCTGCGTCTTATTACTGTCACAAACTGAGGAGGAAGATGTCTGTGATTCTTCCATTTTTAATAAATCAAACACGACTCAGACTCTGACACGCCCCCCCCACCCCACCGCACCAACCTCCAAAAAACAGGGGGGCCTCCTGGTTGGTGGGTTCTCCTCCGTCCACTGACAGGTTCACCATGTGGTTAAAGGTCAGCAGCTCGACTGTGTGGAATCGCCCGTCGTTCACGGTCTCAGTGCTGCAGAGAAGTCACGCACAGTGGGTTTGGTAGATTTATACATATATATATATATGTCTGTATGTGAATTTAAATATACAGAGGAACTCACTTTTAAGAAGCAAGTGCTCTTTTACTAGACATATAGTAACTAACATATATGGCTCATCTTGTGCATTGACCTTATGCAGTTTCGTACAGTTTAACTCCATTCACACAACAATTATATGAAGGAATATAAATAAGTGTTTTTCAGTCTTTGTCCTCACAGTTTGAAACATCGGAATATGATTCATATTTTTGTAAAGGCTCGGCTGTAAATTCTAAAGTCGAACTTTTAAATGTCAGCAAATGTCACATCTGATAAATGTGAGTGAGCGCTAGGGGGCGGTCATGTTCCCAGTTTAACCAGTGGATTCCCCTGAGTTAATTAACTGAAATCCACTTTGGGGGAAACCTAGAAAAATCCAGTCTTTGGGCCATAAACTAATAACCTTCATGAACAGAAATGGTGACATTTAATGAGGAAAAAAAAGACTAGAGGAATTTACAGGGAACTGCAGCCGTGTTTCATCACTGCATGGCTGCAGGTCTGTTGTTGTTACGTGATCAGTTCTATGTGTGTGTGTACCTGTAGATAGCAGTAGTTGCCTGGTTCCCAGGATCGTAGGTGACCCTGACGTGACCCTGATGAAGCTCCACAGCGATTGGCTCGTCGTCTCCGTTGTAGAGGAGGATTCCGTTGTCTTCAGCTGTCGACACCTGCAACACGTGTTCATCAGCACTGATATTTAAAGCCACTGTTAATGATGTTGTCTTCAGTCATAGTACATGAGCATGGAGGGCCAAATAAACCAATAAACAACAGCGTTGATGATGTCACAGCACACCCTGGTTCATGTCATTTAGTTCCATCTCCGTCTTTCTCTACGTTCAGGCGGTGAAGACATATAACACGGACTCTGAATTAATTTTTCAGGAACAGGCAGCAGCTTCACCTCTCTTCAAACCCCAGTCAGGTCTGTGGTCTCACCTCCCCCTCTTACCCTCCTCCCCCCCTCCCTCCTCCTCACCTGCAGCGTGATGTTGGCCTGAGGCCAGTTCTTGACATCCTGAAGCTGAACGTAAGAGTCTCTGTCCACAAAGTTGACACTGACCAGCTTCTCACAGCTCTGACCCTCAAACCCTGGAGGACACTGACACACCGCTACGCCTGACTTCTCCACACAGGTGGCGTCGTTCTGACAGCGAGCCAGCTGGCAGGGTGACGGAGGAGAGACGGCTGCTTCACAGAACTGTCCGCTGGTGATTAAAAAAAATGTAATTCTGTCATTCATGACTATGTAGGGATGGACTGAGACACTCAATTCACCGTAGGGTTCACAATATTTTATTTACATGATATGTTTTTATCACAATTTTTTTTTTATTTTTTTACAAAAATGAGCTCTAGACCAATTGGGACCAAGTCCAATGATCCTCTGTAAAATACTATCAACTATCAACTGAAACTGTTCTCTTCAATAACAGTAGAAAAAAGTCACATTTCTTTCTTTTAGGCACATACTGCCCCCTAGTGTACTAAAGTGTGTAGTGTCATGGTAAGACCAGTGACTTTTTGAGATTTCAGATTAGCCTACTCCTTACTCCTTGATGTGCGATTCATTTTTTATTTCAACTGATTCGAATTATCGCATATTTGTATCATCCCAGTGCGTCACGGTTTCCCATAATCCCCGTTACCTGTATCCCTGTGGACAGACGCAGCTGTAGCCGTCCAGGTGGTCCACACACCGGGCTCCATTCTGACAGCGGTGGTCCACACACTCGTTGTAATCTATGCCACAGTTGGGCCCCACCCAGCCAGGGATACACACACACCTGAACACACACACACACACACACAGAGACAGTTAGTGTTTAGTTTTGACACATGAGGTTTAATTGGAACGTTCTGTTTTTCTGCAGACGGACTCGGGGTCAGAGTTCAGATTAATTAGGCGTCACATTAAAGTCAGGTCTGAGTCGGTGGTAAATTAAGAACTGCTGCGTGCTGATGAGTAAGCTGCACATGAGCCTGAGTCAGAGCAACGACAAGTGTGTGTGTGTGTGTGTGTGTGTGTGTGTGTGCGTGTCACCTGGGCCCTGCAGGACTGCTGATGCAGGTAGACTGGTGCTTACAGGGGTTCCTCCCGGGGGAACACGCCCCCTCCTCCTCTTCACACAGCAGACCTGCCACCACATCAACGTAGTGATGTCATATCCTGTGCAGTTAGTGGAATCCTTCTGACACACACACACATATGATTTTATAAACGTCGCACCTGTGTAGTTTGGAGGGCATAAGCAGGTGTAGTTCCCGACTCCATCCACACAGGTGGCGCCATTCTCGCACCCGTGGTCCGGACAGTCGTCCACATTCACTTCGCAGAACATGCCGTGGAAACCATACGCACACGCGCAGCTGAGGGAGGAGAGAGGAAGGAAGGAGGGAAGGAAGGACAGAAGGAAGAAAGGGTGGAAGGAAGGAAGGAAGGAAGGAAGGGAGGAAGGGAGGAAGGGAGGAAGGAAGGAAAGAAGGAAGGAAGGAAGGAAGGAAGGGAGGAAGGGAGGAAGGGAGGAAGGGAGGAAGGGAGGAAGGAAGGAAAGAAGGAAGGAAGGAAGGGAGGAAGGGAGGGAAAAAGGGAGGGAAGGATGGGAGGAAGGAAAGCAGAAAAAAGGAAGGAATGAAGGAAGGGAGGGAGGAGGAAAAGAATGAAGGAAGGGAGGAAAGAAGGAAGAAATAAAAAAAAATCAGATATTTTGATGTCTTCTATCTTATTCCTACAGGGGGCGCAATTAAAAAAATCAGATATTTTGATCTCTTCTATCTTATTCCTACAGGGGGCGCTGAGAACTTTCTTAGCTGTATGTAAGAGAGCAGTTAAGGTCCAGTATCTCTGTTACGGTTCTTGTGTTTTCGTACCTGAACCCTGCGGTCTGCTCGTCACTCAGACACGTTCCTCCGTTGGTGCAGGGATTACTGACACAGGCGTCCACGGGCGTCTCACAGTGTTTACCCTGAAGAACCACACACACACACACACACACAGAGGGGACTTGATCATTTACAGGAGTGGAGAAAACCCAGTCAGGACGTCAGAGGCGTTTGATGGGATTATCACAACAGATGTGGTGAAAAAAAAAAAATCTCTAACCACAGACATGACATATTGGATCAGTGGTTTTCAACACGTAACTGAGGGTGAGTAACTGGATTACTGTGAGTGAGAGGGTGAGAGAGGGTAGTCGAGTGAGAGTGTGTGTGTGTGTGTGTGTGTGCAGCGTACTCTGTTCCCAGTCCTGCAGCTACAGGTGTACAGCTGTGTGTGATGAGGTTGACAGACGCCCTGGTTCTGACAGGGAGAGGACACACACGGACTACATTTGGACTGGACGGCTGCGTCCCACGGAACCTAAAAAAAAAAAAAAAATAAAGCCACCTGCTGGTCACCTGGAGAAGTGTTCATATTATTTGAAGGCTGCAGAAAACAAAATTGTCCAAATTTGAAAACATTAAAAAAGAAAAGAAAATCTTATTTAATAATGCAGAAAAAAACTGTTCCTTCTGTGACACATGAGACTAGAATTAGTTAAAAAAATACACACATTAAAACAGTTCCATACAGTTCTTTCTTTGCTAAAAAGCTGGAGGCAGATTTTTCAATTCAAATCTGCTATTGGTATAAAAGCTGTGCAATTCTTCAGGAGGAAAAAAAAATTACAAGAGTCACTAGAACATGGCAAGAAAATCTGAAATCAAATCGACAGCAGGTAAAAAGAAAAAAAAGAAAAATACAAATTTGAGACAAAGGAGTTGTCTTAAAAGTCATAACATGTCAATCAGCAGCTCCGTCTGTTTCACCTCACATTCTGTGAGTCACCTCTGAATTCCCCCAAACGACGGTTGACAGACAGTTTCACACCCATGTGTTACAAAAGTGTCACCTTAATAACGGTGTCACAAATTAACAGAACTTTAACTCTGCTCGGATCAGCTCATTATCACGTCATTACGATAACTCTTAAAATGATTCACCTCTTAACTTTATTTTTAATTGTGACAGTCAGATTCTCTGTGGATTCATTTGGAATTTTTTTTTTTTTGTCTTAAAGATTCACTGAATAAAAGATGATTTACTGCTGTCACACATCTGGAAACCTGACAGGAATCTCCAGGAAATATTCACTTATTTTTTATTCGTTTGCTTAATGAATGAATATAAAGGAATATTATTTGCCAGGTCTGAACTGTTCTAGAAATATCACCTACACCGTCTTTAACTTTCCTCACTGAAAACTT